TGTTGGCCAGGCTGGTCTTGAACTCCTGGCTTCAGGTGATCCACCTGCCTTGACCTCCCAAAGTGCTGAGATTACCGGTGTGAGCCACCCCGCCTCGCTGGAGTACTGTTCTTATATGAAGAATATCAGCTTAAAAACTCTGTTCTTCTGGTTAAAAGCCTTCATAGGTTTTCAGCGTGGTTAATTGGCATGACATGTATTCTGTTTTCTCATTATGTGAAGGGACTTTATTCTTTCATAGGCTTTTATTTTTAAGAACATCTCACTTTTTCACCCAGCCTGGGGTGCAATGGCATCTTCTTGGCTCACTGCAGCCTCAACCTCCGGCACTCAAGTGATCCTCCTACTTCAGCCCCGCAAGTAACTGGGACTACAGGCGGGCTCCACCCCACCTGGTTGATTTTTGTATTTTATTTTTGTAGAGATGGTGTTTTGCCATGTTGCCCAGGCTGGTCTGGAACTACTGAGCTCAAGCTATCCGCAGGCCTCGGCCTTTTAAAGTCCTGGGATTACAGCCATGAGCCACCATGACCAGACCTTTTATAGGTTTTTAAAATAGCATTTTAATTACAGAAGTAACTTGCTCTTTTTTTTTTTTTTTTTTTTTAACTTTCCATAGGAAAAGCCCATGTTGAGATATCATCACTGGTGAATTCTAGCAAGCATTTTTTTAAGTTATTATTTTATTTTTCCATAAGTTATTGGGGTACAGGTGGTATTTGGTTACATGAGTAACATGAGTAAGTTCTTTAGCGGTGATTTGTGAAATTCTGGTGCACCCATCACCCGAGCAGTATACTTGCTCATTGTTGAAGACTAATGAGAGTCTTCCTGAGCTGTGATTTTAGTTAACGCTGACTGTTTCCAGCTGGAAAGAGTCTCAGGCAAGTTAATCAGTTTCTGTAAAGCTTAGTTTCCTTGCCTACATTAAGGGCATTATTTTAGCGCCTACTGCAGGTAGGTACTATAGGAAATAATTCATGTACATAACATCTGGCTATTGAAAAAGGCATTTCACCTATAACCCCGCTAGCCATCTTTTACTTTTTCGTTCCATTCTCTCTCTCTCTCTCTCTCTCTCTCTCTCTCTTTCTGTGTGTGTGTGTGTGTGTGTGTGTGTGTGTGTGTGTGTGTGTCTAAAGCACAGTAGACTCTTGACATTCTTGAGGGTTTTATGTCATACGTGCTTTGTGAATCTCCAAATACTTTAATGCATTAGAAAATATATTTTTTTCTCTATAAAAGAATTTTAAGTGATCTTTCAGACTCTTGATGAGTTACTTTGTATGTTATGAACAGAGAAGCAGTAGATGAGCAGTTATCCAGGGCCACTCAGTAACTGAATGACTTGCTTCTGTCTGGCCACTTCTGTGCATGTACAGTTCACATGTTTGCCTCATCAAAATTACACTGACTTTGAGGATGGCTTGAAAGTAGTAGCGGTTTGCATGTTAAGGCACCAACTTTCAAGAGTCACTATAGTGATGCAGTTTTTAATGTGTTAGGATTCACATGTAGTTTTATGTTCTACTTTTAAAAATATGTGTCATGAAGGAGGCTGAGGCAGGAGAATTGCCTGAACCCAGGAGGCGGAGGTTG